AACAGAGAAAATGGTGATATTTTTAACTTTGAGGTGGTACCTGAACTGCTCATCTGTTCCAGCAGTAAAATTTACCAAATCTACACTTAAAACATTTCATTTTTTGAAAAAGAGGCAAAAATAAAGTATTTAGCTTAATTAGATGCTGTAAAAAAAATAAATAAATAAAATAAAATCCTGCTTCGGCACAAACTGGGATGAACTGCAGGCTGTGTTTACTCAGATCAGACTGGAGACGGAAACCAGGAAGATATCGACAGGACTTAGGATTCAGTGTTAAGTGTTGGTGACATGGGTGGGCACTTTTATGTCATTATATTTTTTAATTTCTGGCATGATAACGGAGTCATGCTGCATGTTAGACATTTCTCTCTACTTGTGTTCATAGCGGTGTTTCCGTAGCGGTGCAGGACTTCATTCTGCCGGTAATTAGCTCACAGTGACACAGAAACAGAAGTGTAATGATATCAACCCGTGGTTCGCTCTAACTCAGTCTGAAGGCTCACAGATACATCACAGATGCAACATGCTGGCCTATCAGTGTGCTCTGTTGTATTGACATAATGGCAGCAAGTCGAGGTCAGCGTCATTATCGAGCTTCTTCTTCGTCTTGTGCTCTGAATTGCAGCTCCCACAAACACACTGGAGTCTTTGTTCAGCTCAGAAATCCAACCGTGCATTTATTGTTTTTGTCTTTGTTTAAATGCCGGCTAGCAAACACCTGCGCGCGCTATAAGACAGAATCCCACCAATGCAGCTGTCCAGAGGCACAGAGAACCAGCCGACCTGCTGTTTCCTGACGGACCGAGGCCGGACCGAGGCCGGACGCCGGCGGACTCCAACGACGACGTTAAAGTACCAAATGTTTTCTGACTGAAAGCACTAATGGAGAGAAATGGTCCGAGAGGAAAAGTCAGAGCGGCTGTCCGAACGCGCTGCTGCTGGTTCCTGACGGCGTGAAAACAGCAGAAATCTAAAAAAAAAAACCCGGGAAACTACAGCGGCGGCATCGGCACGCAAACCGACAAACACGGACACAGATGATTTGGATCGCATCGTCATGGCAACATAAACGTTCAAAAATCCATCTACAGTAGAAACCAGATGTTTACATCCACCGTATAAAAAGACATGAAACCTTTTCTTCTCACCGTCTGACATTAAATCAGACTAAACGTTTCCTGTTTCAGGTCAGTCAGGATCTCCAACATCATCTCTATTTGCTGAACACCAGAATCATGAGAGAGAGGATGTTTTATTACTTTCTTCAGAATCAGAAGTTTACATCCACTAAGATTAATATGTCTTCATTTGGGAAAGCCCAGCGGCCTCATGTACAAAGACTTGTGTGGTTTTCATCCTGAAACCTGGCGTAACTGCGTACGCACAAAAAAATCCAGATGAATGAAAGTGCGCCTGAATCCAAGCACAGAGTACCAGACTCCTCCCTCTCCACAGCCCCATTTAAATATGCAAATTAGTGTAAACAGGGCCGACAGGTGGGACTCCCCTCTGCAGGATCAGGTAACAGGAACAAGCCTTGAGTGAGAACGGTAGCTTCACCGAATGTGAGCTGGAGACGCTCGTCAACCAAGTCGAGGCCCAGAAAATGTGTGAGTGTGTGTGAGGCGGTGGGTCAGAGCAGCTCACACTCACAGAGGTCCAAAAGAAGTAGTCGGACCTGAAGAGGAGGACTGTTGCCCACAAAGCATGGTCAATACAGGAGGGGAGGACAGAATGAACTCACCACGTTTGAGCAGAGAGTCGCTGCTAGTGTGGGTGATGCTGCTGTCACAGGGGTGGTGGGAGCACACGTGGGTCACCACAAGGTCAGTATATATGGTGTAACTCACACATTTATTCATTCTACGGGTCACACAATCATCTGCTCACAACCGAACAAGAACATAAAGGTTCTTGCGTAATCATGCCAGGAAACCAAAGAGGAAATCGAAGACTTTGTCTTACGTTTAATTACTCAGTTGATTATTTTCCAGCAGACAATGAGGCAGGAGAAGACGGTGAGATCCAGTCCCAGCCTCGTCTCACAGACCCGCGGGATTCCTCCAGCCTCCCCGGCGTCAGCTGGTCCTCCGGTCAGCCGGCTGCTGATGCCCGTCCGACCGGCCATGTCCTCACCCACGCTGTGCTGGAGTCACAAGAGGACATCGTGAGGCGACCGGCGGCATCAGTGAGCGCCTGGACCGATTAACGAACTTCAACCACTGATGAGTCACGATGCTGTGAAAACAGGATGATGTTCAGGGGCGCACATGCTCAACGCATGTCGGGGGGTTAATATTGGGACAATTACATGACTTACTCACCAAGAAGCCTAACCCTAACCCTAACCCTAACCCGCACCATACCAGCTTGTAGCCTGTTCCCAACCATGCTGCTGGTCAGAATGAACCCTGTGCTGATCCAGGTCTCCTCCAACAACGCTGCTTAAATGTATTTGTGCATCACAGATGATCTGGACGTTGACTGAATGGAAATGCTTCCTGTTTACATAAACACATCCATCCAGTGACGGTGCCTTTATAACAATGTGTGTGCAGCTCCGATTACATCAGGAAAACCGGCTCTCGCTGCAAATTGCACTTTTATGTCGTCCTGTTCAGCTGCCGTGTGGGAGCTTGATATTCCGATGGTTCCACTTCACACAGCTGGCATGGCTCGGCTCACTGTGGACTGGCACAGTCCTGATCGATTGGCCAGCTCCCTCTGAATTGACCCTGTGGCGAGGAAGCCCAGTGGGTCAGCACCTGTATGGGCACAGGTAGGACATGGCTCCTGGACGTGTTGGGCTCTAATAATGGCTGTGGTTCCACGTACAGTTCTAGGAGGATTGCCCTCAGGAACGTAAAGCCGCTGATGATCCAGTCGTCGTCCTGAGGTCTCTGGAAACCCGTTCTCTTGGCACTGCTCCATTGGTGACATCCTCCAGCAGGTCCAAAGCTGCCGTTGTTGTTCACAGTATCTTCTGCAGCCAGGAAGTTACAGCTTGGACACTAATGGGTCTTCAGATGGACAATGACCCTCAGCATAGCTCCAGATTAGCTACAGAGAGGCTTCAGGACAACAGAGTCAGTGTTGTGGAGTGGCCATCACAAAGCCCTGATCTCCATCCTGGAGAACATCAGTGGAGCAAGGAGACCAACAAA